TTTTTTTTTTTTTTCAGAAAAGAGCTGTTATAGTTTTACTTGGGACGCAAATGTATGCATCTGTTCTATGATGTTTTGTCATATGTTTTAGTGACCTGTGACCTGTGACCTGTGACCTGTAAAAGAAACCTGCCGGAATAAGGGGTATGGGAAAAAATATTCTTTCTTTCTTCTTTTTATTTGTTATATCAACCAATCAGATTTGCTGATTTAATTGAACTTAAAAATTAATACCAAACACTTTTTAATCGATTTTGCAGCTCTTATGTGGATCATTACTTAATTTGTCATATCAACGAATAGCTTATTTAGTTTAACAGGCAAGTTTTATCTGGAGGCTAATCAACCTGTGTTTGGGCTAATTGACTCATGGTTGGGGGCTAACCAGCTAGGGGCTAATTGACTTGGGGGCTAAATGACAGTTAACCTAGGTGGTAGAGTATGGATACTATGATCTGGCCCGCTTGTTGGAAATGGCGTTATTAACTTTAATAAATAAACATTGAAGCATGTACATGTATTAATTCTACAAAATATGAAAGAAAGTATGTTTTTAATTAGAAAGCACGAATTTTCAACATTACTGAGCAAATTAACGACAACTGAATGCTGTACTCACGAAATTTTTTTTTACCTCAATGGTTGACAAACAGTTGTAATCAACAGTCAAATGGTGTCATCTCAATGAGTGGGATAAACACAGATTTTTTGTCTTGAAGTCCAAAGTCATTTGATTCCACAGTTGCATGTTTACTAAGCTTTAATGAGTAATAGACATTTGAATCAGCAATTCCAAGCCTTTCTTTTGCCTTGCCAGACAAAGAACATGAGAATTAATGTTCAAATTATTTGTCTCAAAAGGCACAGATTTTGAATTATTTGCCTCCACGGGTGAAGAATTCATCTGAAAGTGCAAAGAGTCATTTGATTTCACAGTTGAATGCTTCACTTCAAAACAGCTGAGTGTGTACATGAGTATGATTGTCATCTTAGATACCCTGGATAATAAGAAAAAAAATGCATGCTTGCGATCCTATATCAGACAAAATTTGGGGTTACAAAGTAACCCATGGTGACAATACTGCCTAATTGCACTGCTAATGTGCGAATATCACATGGAAACTAAAGAATGATAGATTACTGTGAGAAATTCCATCATTGACTTCTTGCTTCTTTAAGTTGAACTGAAAAATAATTGCAGCTGCTTATTTGAAAGGCTTTTCAAAATAGAGAAGAATGGCATTTTCATTTTTGAGATCATAATCTTTTTTTGTTTTAGAGATATTAATGTTTTTGTATGATGCAAGTTATGAAAGTGATGACATCATCAGTTGTGCAACTAAAACAGTAAAATATTGAATAATTCCAAAACGGAAAATGCCATTTTTCTGTATTTTGAAAAGCGTTTCAGTTCATAGGCACTTTATAGTAATTGATATTTTTGCTAAAAATATTATTGATAGAAATCAAACTCTGATCAATCAATCAAGATCAGTTTGGGGGGTGGTTAATGGTAAATGCAAGTCAGACTTTGCAAGAAGGGGAGACCAATGTTTTCTTTGCAAGCCTGAGACATTTGTGACTTTTTAAATTGCGAGACCGAGAACTTAAAGTGTCATTTTCAATGCAAGTGCAAGGCGTTCAGACTCTAAGACTTTTGGACATCATCTATAAAACAAAACAAACAAATCAG